GATGAGTCAGTGGGAAATCTGGGAGAAGGAACACATTTCAGGTGTCTGGAATGGGCCTTTACAACACACCCTATAGGCAGCAGGCATGCCAACTTACAGAAGAAGTGTGACAATGTCTTAATGTTTTACTGTTGTAAAAGTACCCCTTTCCAAACACCTTCAGATTTGTGATTTTACCACTCCATACCAGTAACTTCTGAGTATGTAGCAGACTGCTTTAGTGTCTACAGATCCTTCCACTCCTGTGTACTTGTCCCTTTGCAATGTGACTTTGCCCCTCCTCCCATCAAGGGTGGAGTCTACCTCTCTGCCTTGAGGTCGGCTTGACCATGTGATTTGTTTTGGCTAATGGGACATTAGTAAAGGGATGCAATCAGAGGCTTGAGAAGCCCCAGCAAATCAGGGGCTGTCCTCTCTTCCAGCCCTGAGACTGTATTGTAAGGAGCCTGGGTCTCCTCAAAGATAAAATCCATGTGGAAGAGGCCCAGGGAGAGGTAGTTCTCAGCCTCAGAACTGTGATGTGAGACTATCTTGGACTATCTAGTCCCACTGAGACCAACTGCCAGATGACTGCAACTACTCAAGTGGCACCAGGCAATTCCAGTGAGCTCCAGAACGTGAGCAAACCCGGTGGATGCTGCCTGGCAGGGAAGTGACCTCCAGAAGGTGAGCAAACCTGGTGGATGCTGCCTGGCAGGGATGTTACTACCAAATGCATTTTACGGATGAGCAAAACTGAGGCTCAGAGAGCTTGTGAGACATGCCCAACATCACATGCCCAGCTTGGGACTATAACACAGTGCATTTAAGTCTGGGTCTCTGGTCAGGGTTCATCAGGCAAGGCCCTCTTACTTGCTCTCCTTTCGTGGTTGCCTTGAAACTAGATGAAGTGCCCAGAGGCCTTCACTAACTAATTGCTGTCAGAGATTTTTTTTTAATCACTTTTGGAACAAGTAACTAGGTTCTTCTGATTGCACACCCTCTTTTCCCAGAGTGTGTAGGGCCTGAGGCTACACGTGCAAGTGGAGGATGAGCAACCAGACTTAGGGTGGAGGTGTTTCCTTACTTCCTCCCTGTCTTCCTGCTGGGGAACATCCCTCTCCCCTTGCTCCTCACGTGGGTTTGAGCACCCACAGGATGGCGAGGATGGTGATGGTCAGACAGGGCTATAAAAGCCCCAGCAGCAGCCCTTCCGGAGGGGTGCATTCCACGTGTGGTATCTCAGTGGGTCTCCGGAACAGCAGTAACAGTGGCAGCCCCAGCACAGAACATCTGATTTCTCTTATTTTGGCCATGGGGAAATGGCTACATTTTGATTTGCAAGCATCAGAGGGAAATTGTCCAGCACTTGTGCCCTGCTCAGAAGCATTTGCCTCTGCCTGGGCTCGGCTCTTCACTGTCGATGTCTGTGGGCGCCGTTGTCTGTCTTTCTTGTGTATCTGGAGTACAACAGGAGGCCCATAACCCACCTTGCCTTCCTGGGGCCTTCCAGGGTGCCCCGCTCTGTGATCATGTACTTGGGGGCACCAGCCCTAAGCAGCCTGTCCATGGTGGTTATCGGGCTGGTAGCCTGCCCTGCCTGGATGCCAACCTGGTCTACACCCATCTCCTTGGGCGAGCAGTGGACGTGCATCTCTGCCTGCAGGGTTTCTTGCCAGGGTTCTGCCAGTGAGCCTGGGGGCCAGCCGCTGTGAGTTTTACAGGAAGAAGAAAGAAAGAGGGCCAAGCTCATCCTTGAGTCTGCCCTTTCAACCTCTCCAGATACTTAACCTCATAGTGTTCTGGGAAAGTGATGGGTTTACAAAATGACACCAGGCCAGTGTCCATGTCAGGGAGCAGAATGGGGTCTGTCCCCACCTGTGCCAGTACCAGGGGCCAGAAGCTGGGCAGGGAGCAAGACAGAGGGAAGGGCCAGCGCTGCTGGAACTGCTACACTCGTCCCTCGTCCCTGGGAACCAGGTTTCCAAATGAGCCAGGCGTGGGAGGGAACACAAAGAAAGCCACTTTAGTCTTTGTAACCATCATACTTGCAAACTCATTCTCTCTTGACTAGCTCTCTCTTATCCCCAGGATGAAATCTGGAAAATCTGTGTGTCACTTCTCTTCTGTTCTGTGGGCTACCAGGCCCCAGCCATGCCTCTGTTTCTCATGTCCCTGCCTCCTCACTCTCTGGCTGCTGTCTGTGGCTCCCCGTGGGGTTGGTACAAAGTCCTTCTTGACTCTTCTTTTGGGTGCTCACTGGGCTTGGTGGAGGTCCAAATGCTGACCCCGTTTCTATGGAAGTGCTTTTGGGGGTCTTCAGGCCTTCCCACAGCTGTCTCTGCCCTCAGTTCCCTGGACAGAGATGGTGGCACCCCAAGCTGGTGGCTTGTGACCACCTTTTTGGCCTGGCTTCTGGGGTTTACCCTTGTTGTCGGCAGAGTCCTCCTCCTGAAGACAGCCCATCTCAGGCCTCGTCCCAGGGTTCACTCCTGGTGCTCGCGAAGCATGCATTGCCCCTAGGACTCCATAACACTCCCATGGCTCTGAGGACCTGGGAGCTGGCCAGCCTCAGCCTTCGGAGCCTTGGGGCAGACATCAGGTACGAGTCTCTAAGGCCCTCAAGCCCCAGGGATGCCTCACATCTCTCAGCAAAACGTGAGGAGGAAACCTCTTCCCTTTGCCCAGGGAAGACAGAGGCAAAATGCAGAGGTACTGGTAACTCACGGAAAAAATGTCTCTCTTTTGGATTTCTGAACCCCAAGGGAAGGGGGGACCCCCATGGCAGGGGAGCCCTTCTTGGACGGAAGAAACATACTGGTATTCTCTGCTAGCTTGACTATATGAGAGCGATCCAGAACGAAGGGAAATGTACAAAGACCCGGTGACAGAGACTAAAAGCTGGTATCTCATGTATAGCACACACACGTTTACAAAACTAACATGTCAGAACCAAAATAGCCTTGTTTCTAGCAGCTCCTTGCCTCCTTTTGTGATTTACCTGCTGCTGTGGGATCTGGGTGACCAACCAGAGCCCAAACACGGCCCTGTGGGCTACAGACATCAGGACAGACACCTCTGAGCCCTGGCATGGGAGGGACCATGGGGGCAGGATTCGAGCTCTTGGAACCATGAAAAATTCAGGAGAAACTAGCCATGAGGACTTGGACACCATCCTGAAGAGCATTTCCTTGCTGTGGTCTGTGCAAATGGACAGCAAATGGGGGTATTCCTAAGGTCCTGGCAGGTGTCAGAGTCCCCACCTGCCTTGAGTGTTGTCCACCCCTTTCCAACACCTTCCCCGATGGAAGAGGATGCTGGTAGCTCATGTGATGCTTGTCTGCTCCTCAAACCTTCTGGTCCAAGTTGTAGTGGAGGGGACTAAAAAAAACCCCAAGGGATCCTGAGAGGAGGCGGGACATTTGGAGGTGTGTGATCACTACAGTTGGGTTGGCAGGGCTCAGCAACACCAAAGCACTCTTCTTGGGAGCTGGGGAGAGTGAGTAGCTGCGCCAATGCCTTCTGTCTCTCCCCCATTTCCCCAAAGCGTAAGGGAACAACAGAGAACAGAGCTGCTGCCCATCACCAAGGAGGCCTCTCTGCAGTGGTCCTGCCCCGACTGAGCTGGCAAACCTGGGTCCCGTGGGAGGGAGACGGGCATGAACACCAGACACCCCACTCCTTCCGCCCCCACTCAGCTCCGGGCCCTCCTGGGTTCCAGGGAGCAGGAGCGCAAGCTGAGGCCTGATCAGCTGTGTGACCACGGGCCAAGTGCCTCCTGGATGGGAGGACTCAGCGGACACAGTATATGGTGATGGCCACGTATTATTATTATTTTACACCCCACCCCCTCACTCCCAAAGACACACTGGGCTAGAGTCAATCCACGTGCATCTATGGAGTGTCTGCCCTGTGGCAGGTGGCAGAGAGGCAACGATGAAAGGGATGCTAAGGAATTCTTCACACACATCTCAGGCATGACTCAGCATGGAAAAGCAGAGTGTGGAGTTTTCAGGACTGGACTGAGTCTTCAGAATATGTGTCCCCAAAGATAGACTTTGGTGTGGACACGTGACATTGTTAAACTAAAGTGACAAAACCACCCTGTGGGAATCGTGTTGATGGGTTTCCATACCAGAGGGCTCGTCTTTGAGGGTCCTCGATATAGTGTCCGGCCTGGGAAGCCCCCACACCTGGCTGCTGGTGGCTGAGGACCCCTGAGGCGGAGGTATGGGGCCAGGACATACTGCCAACATGGGCTCTCTACTGGGATCTGATCCCTTCTGGGATCTTCTCAGTGTCAATGCTCAGGCTTTCTTATGTTTGCCTGAGACTTTTTCTAGGGGTGACAACTTGTCTCTTGGCTTCCATTAAGTATGAACGAAAGCACACATGTGCCTTTCAACTGCTGGGGCCACAGGTTGGGTGGCTGCCTTGTTGGGCCACACGCTTTATTCTCACACTGGGACATTTCAGTTGTGTCTGCAGGAACAAGTCACTCCCTGCACGTGGACAGGAAGGCACACAGCACCTCTGGTGCTCACGCTGCGCTCACTTAGTGACCTTTTGCTCTCAGCGTGACTTCTTGAAGCCAGAAATTAAACGGATACTTGGAAAAAGTCCAAACCCGGCAGCTTGAGGCTTCTGAGCCTGGTGAGTGCAACAGCAGTGTGAAGGGCCTACCACGTCACACGCCCCCTACAAAGGCTGACTGTCCAGCGAGTCCCCTTCCCACCGCAGCCTGCAATGGGGAAGGGGCGACACTTGCAACCTCCGTGCCTCTACCTGCAAAATGTACGTGCAAGCTGTGTAAAATTTCCCCCAAATATCTGGCAGGGGTCCAGCCCTGCCCCACAACTCTGCCCTGTGTCCTTGAGGAGAATCTAATGTCTGAAGGCGGGAACCTTTGTATCTCCCCCAGCCTGGGGTTACCACGTGCTCCCTCAAAGAACTTCCCATGCTGGGCGGCCAGGAGCTTAAGGTGAGCACCGGGGAGGGTGAGGGGCCGCACTTACCCCCCTCCTGTGCCACCGTTCTTGCTGAAGTGCGTGCGTGGCTCGCTGGACGCCAATTTCAGCAGCTCCGTCCACTCCCGCTCCCATTCCTCCTCGGTGTACAGCAGCCCTGACTGGCACAATGGAAGCCGGCTCAGGAGGTGGTGGCCGGGCCTCCTTGCCCGCCCCGTGCAGGTGAGCCTGGCAGGCCCACCGGACCCCCGACCCCCCGGCTCAGCGCAAGCCCGACCAACGCCCAGGCTGGGCATGCCTGCTAGTAGCCGCTGACTCTCCCCGTTTGCTCTCAACCACATTTCTTCAGAACCCCCAATCTCCAATTTCAATGCTGTGGGGAGGGGAACACCCAGCAGCAAGGGTCCTGCCAGCGGGGTGTGAATGACCAGACGTTAATCTGCATACACCAAACTCGGGGCTGAGCACTGAAAAGTTTAAAGAGATGACGGGCCAACTTCAGTCAGAAAGCAGGCAGATCCTTGTAGGACAGCAAAGTGATAACGTCCCCCATCGGCGGGATGGTGGGATTCTCTTTGGATTGAGAACATACACAGGAGCGGGGGCTGTAGGCTGTCCCAGAACCACCTTGCGGCTACACCCGGCCTTCAAGTCACCACCAGTAGTGACCACACATAGGGGACTGTATAATTTGTCCTCAAGCCAGGACACCTTTTGACAGTGAAGGTGGTTGGTTTTCATAATTATGCAAGGACAGGCGGTGTGAGTAGACATAAGAGTCACTGTGTGCCAGGGGCTGAGCTTTTGTAATGGGCACCTCTTCAGTTGGTTTAAATGAGGGAGGCCTTCCTAGTCCCAGAAGCCATTGCTGTCTGATCTCGCAAGACGGACTTGGCCTTGGGGCCCAGCTCTGGATTCCACCCGTGGCCCATGGCTGCGCTTGGTATGGGTCTCGGGCTCTGGACACAACAGCGGGTACCAACCTCCTTGTTCTGCTGCGTCTGCTGCCACCTCCACCTCCGCTTTAGGGCTTCTCTTTCAGCTCCTGTCCTCATCATTGTGTAGAGAGCTTTCCGCAACACAAGGTCCCGGTCGTGAAACCCCCACATTCCTGCAGCAGGAGGCCCATGAGGAGCAGAGGAGAGAGACAGGACGTGAGGACGGGGACAAGCCAGGAGGCCACTCAAACCACCACAACTTACGGGGCCCAGCCTCCTGCATCTGCACACACAAAGATAATGCGTCAGTCAGCTATTCATTTCTCACGATTAGCTAGCCATTCCCCTCTGTTCTCTTTCCCCATTTCCCATTGAAGCAAGCTGGTGAATGAAGGAGTATGCCCCTTTCTCAGAGAAAAAACAGTGGGTGAGATCACATGCTGCGTCTCTCTGGGACCCTTGGCCAGCTACTTTCAATCTCTCAGGTTTGCTTTGAGGGACCTAATGTTCGCTGTCCAACTCCTGTATTTGAGTGAGAGATAGTCTCTGTGGATAAGCTGGTGACGTGTCCTCACACAGGGCCTCAAGCCAGGATGGCAATCAGACCCTGGCTTCATCTAGGCTTCACCTAGACATCTGATGTCTCAGCCCTAAGGCATCTTGACCTCCTGAGACACAGAGCATCAGTGGGAACCACTGCAAACATCTGGACCCAAGAGCAAGTACCTGTTTTGGGGGGAGGTCTTTCTCCCTTACCCCCTCCCCAGCCTGTGCTGGGTGTTGAGGGGTTATATAAGGAACATCAGCCATCTCTGAGTACATTCGTGGGACAGCTCAGATGTGGTCAAGAGACCCAACAAATGGAAGAAATAGTAATGAGAAGTGCAGGTCTGGCTATGGGGAAAGAATGGGGGAATCCATCCATCCATCCATTTAATTAAATGGCATTAATTCCACTTAATTAATTCCAAACTTATTTCATAATAGGGGTGAGACACCATTCTCGGTTTTGGGAATACCCACAGCAGCAATCAGGACAGACTAAGTTCCTAAAATCTCACAGAGTGCACACTGAGGGAAGAGGAAGCAGCCATCGAATTAGCACATGGCATACGCTGTCAGGGGTAGAGCACCAGACAGAGAGATGAAGCAGGACAGGTTGCTGGGTGGCAGTGGTCATGGCATGAATGGAGACATCAGGGTCTAGACTCGAGAGGGTGAAGGAGGGAGCTGAGTTGCCAGCCCAGGCAGAGGGGAAGGCAGGGGTCAGCCCCAAGGGGCGCCCACGAGTCATACTTGAGAAACAGCAAGTGGGAAAGGTGGCTGGAGGGAGGATCTAGGGGACAAGGTGGAGAGTGAAAAGGTGGACTTTTGGGCGCCTGGGTGGCTCAGATGGTTAAGCGTCTGCCTTCGGCTCAGGCCATGATCCCAGGGTCCTGGGATCGAGTCCCGCATTGGGGCTCCCTGCTCCTTGGAAGCCTGCTTCTCTCTCTCTCTCTGTCTCTCATGAATAAATAAATAAAATCTTTAAAAAAAAAAAGAAAAGAAAAGGTGGACTTTTAAATGAGCTGGGAGCCTCTGGAGAGCTTTTAAAAGAGGAGTGACCTGCACTGACCTAATCTTTAAAGACTCAATCTGGCCACGCATCCTTTTGTGCAAAGATACGCAATAGCGGGGGCTGCTATGGGCTTTCCATCAAGTGAGGCTTTTGCCTTTTTTTACAACATAGATGAGGGAAGTGGCCATTCATGCTCCTTTTATAAACAGGCCAAGCTGATCTTACTCATCCCTCAGCCCTGCCTGCAGTGGCCTCTTGGGACTCTCCCAGGCACGGTAAGTCCAGCCTCAGTTCCCCCGGCTCCATGTTTGGGTCTCTCTTGCAGGAAGGGTCTCCTTGCCCCATAAATGTTTGCTTGCAAGCCTGGCTCTACGATTACTGTCATTTCTGTGGGTGTCCCACAAACCTAGGTCAAGAAGCATTGCTGGTCAGTGTGGCATGGCTCCTTTGAACAGTCAGGTCAAACAGCTAAACCCCATGAAAGGAAAACAAAGTCCCAGGAGGAAGGAGCCACCTGGCGATGAGCTCCAGACTCCACTATGGCCTCGCTGGAGCAAGGCTGGCCCACAGGATGCTTTCTCTTCTCAGGCAGACGGGAGCCCCACTACACTCCCTGGGAAAATGCCTGTCTTCAGACCAGACCGCGGTGGCACATGGCCTGATTTGTGGCTTTGCTCACCTGTAATGGTGCACACTGCAGTTTCTGAAGGACAAAGGCATTTCCCTTTGTACGAGGCTGATGTGTGACACAGATGAGAGATTTCTTCTTTTATGTCCTTTCCAGGTTTTACACACCAACAAGGTGAAAATGTCCCACAATAGGGAACTAGTTTATACATTATGATGAAATATGACAAAACTACCAAAAACATGTTTTTGAAGAACAATAGCATGGGAAATTCATGATAGAATTTTAAGGGGAAAATGCTGGATTCCGCACGGCAAACATTGTGCGGTCATAATTTCACTGAAAGAAAAGGCAAAAGATAATACGCCAAAACATTAAAAGTGGCCGTTGCTGGGTGGTGGGATTGTTGATTTTTATTTTCCTACCGTGATGAATGTGAAACACGTTTGCAATGCCAACAAACAGAAATGTGTTCGTTGTGAAATGGAAGGCAAGCAGGGACGTGGGAGCCTCTGTGTTCCCCACCACCCGTTGCCACGCCTGCAGAACGCGGAATGTTCCACTTGCTCTGGGGCTCCATTCTCCCCCGAGGCTCTCAGGCCCCCTCCCAGACCCCATGAATTTCGCCTCTGTGGGTTTTAGTCTCACCTCTGTCCACCTCTTGCTGAACAGGCCTCACTACAGGGCCGAAGAGAGGTTTGGGGTCTGGCCCTTGCTCTGGGTCCCAGCATCAACCGTGTTTACCTGGGGAGGTGAGTTTGACCAACAAGGAATATTCTTGGTCAAACTCGCCAACTAAGAATATTCTTATCTTAGGGTCCCATCTGTGGAGAGAGACCCTTTATTCTAGGACTCAGGAGGATAGCTGGCTCTGAGGCCTGGGTCCCTGGCACAAATCCAGTCCTGTCTGTCAAAACTGATTCGGCTCTGTGTATAGAAGGATGGATCTAGAAGGAGTAACTGAGCTTCCCGAAAGTCTACCATGACCCCTCAGTTATTCAAATAGTGCCAGCAATGCTTGTGCACCTGCCGGTATGGGTTTTTGCAGCCTGGAAGCTCACATCTCTGTGGAAGTTTGCTGACTTCCCTGCTGTATATTTGGACTATGCTGATTTGCCTGTGGTTTACCCAACTATGTCTTTTTGTCAGTCCCCAGGTGATTCCCCTGTTTCAACAATAAAAATCAACAATCCCACCACCCAGCAATGGCCACTTTTAATGCTTGGGCGTATTATCTTTTGCCTATCCTTCCAGTGAAATTATGATCTCACTATGTTCACAGTGTGGAATTCAGCATTTTTCTTCCTAAAATTCTACTCAACCTATGTCTTTTTCTCAGTACCCAAGTGATTCCCCTATGATTTATCCAAGTGATTGACCCAAAAACTATGTCTTTTTGTCAGTCCAAGTGCATGGACTGCTATCAATGCAGTGGCCCCATACCATCCAACCTAATGTACGGCTCCCCAAACTTCCTGCTCAAGCCCAACCTAGCTCAGCCCTGCTTCCAAAGATCCTGTTAATTCCTGCCTTCCTTCCATGGAGTCTCCCTACCTGGGACGTCTTCTTTTAAAATCTTTTCGAGTCCTTCAGATCTCACCTCCTCCAGGAAGTCCTCTACACTATAATCTCTAATTCCCATCCCTGCCGCTCATGATTAGGCCCCTTCTATTATATCAGGTCTTTTCTCATGTGTGCTCTGTGTCCCCACCAAGCCTGCCAGCTGCTTGACCAGAAGGGCTAGATTGTTGGCTACATCCCTTGGGGACTGTTTCATATGAGTGATGTGCATGGCTCTACTTAACATATGTCTGCCCTGAGCAGAACCGGCCTGGGGCGCTGCCACCCTGTCTCTGCTGTGGAGCTTACCCAGAGAGGCTGCGTGTAAAAGGCAGTTCCCGTCCCCTGTAGTGGCCAAAGGAAGAAGCCGTTTACAGCTCGTGCACACAGTGGACCACCAGTTCAGGCGACCTGAAATAGAAACTCACTTTAGAAGAGAATCCCAGAATAGATCGTTGTTAAGTGTTTCCTAAGTAAGCATAAACATCAGCAGATGATTTTTGAGAGGTTCTAGAGAACTTCAGTGGGAAGGTAGAGCATTATGGCTACTTTTAAATAAAATATAGATTTTTTTCCCCCTCTAAAATAAGAGATGACCAAATCCTCCCATTAATTAGCAAGAGGATTAAGAAACCCAAGGGTGAAGGCTTTTCTCCTTGAATCTGGGACCATTTTACACAAAAATAAAGTTTATCTTTGTGCAATCTCCTTGAACACAGTTTCCCCTTCTGGAAGTTATTTTTTTGTTTTGCACCATCCTTTTTTGATGCATACATACCTCCGAAAGTATGGTTTATGTTTAATTTAACAGATCAAAATCATTATAGCTACTTAGATATATTCCTGTTAAATCTCATTAACACATCTTGAGACTTCTGCTTCCAGGAAGAGGGAGTAGACATACTTTCCCCTATTCTTGTACTAAGTACAACTAAAAATCCTGGACATCATGTATAAAATAACACAGGAAGACTGAAAAGTGGAGAGAAGAGGCAGACTGACCAGGAAACTTGGGATCTGAGAAACAGCATGGTAGTAGCCTCCCTGGAATTTCTTTTTTGCCCCCAAATCCTAGACCAGGTACTGCAGAAGTTGGGAACCTGGAGACACCAATGGGGGTAGACAAAGGAATCATGCTCTCTCTAGACAGGATATCAGGAAAGGGGCAGCTTAGGAAGATAGACAATAACTGCTCTATTTCAGTGAAATGCCACAGAAGAAATTGTAGCTCATTATCATCCCTGCTGGCAGAGGCCAAGTGGGGAGCCAAAACTTCCAACCTTACCGGGCAGTAATGAGTCACTCACCACCCGCTCCCCCAGTGCCAGATGGTGTCAGAGAAGGCTGAACACACAGCCGGTACTTCAGCCCTGCTGGGTGGTAAGCTGGACTCCACCCCCTACCAACTGAGAACATATGGGGAGCCTGGCCTTTCCCACCCATCTGGTGGTAAGAAGGTCCCATGCTCCCTCCCAGCAGTACCAAGAAGCCCATTCCTCCACAGGTGTCCAACAGAGCAGAGTGGAGAACCTGTGCCTCCACCCTTATCTGGCAGTTATTACCAATCTAGAATTCGAGACCTCAGATGAACTGAAAGGGAGAATCCATCAGACCTGCAGTAGAGAATACTAAAAGGATTCAGTAAAGAATACTTCAGAGTGCACAAAAGTAATAAAGGGGCTTGAAAGGGCAAGTATGTTGGTAAATGGAAATGGAAATAAATATTGGCTGTTTAAAGCAATATCAGAAATGCCTTTTTGAGGATTAAAGTATATGTAGAATTAAAACACAGGACAGCAAAAATAACACAAAACACGGGAATGTGTAATAAATGACATAAATCCAAAGATCCTTACATTGACCAGGAAGTGGTAAAAGTGCCAAGTTATGGTAAATTCTAATAGCTCGAAGGTACATTTTGGAAACCGTAGAGTAACCACTAAAGGAATAATAAAAGAATGTATAACTGACAAGCTAGTAGAGGGGAAACCAGAATAATAAACATTCTTAAATAATTCAAAAGAATAAGAGAGGAAAAAAGAGACACAATAACACACAAAAAATAAACAGCAAGATAACGGATTTAAACCAAAATATACCAGTATTTATATTAAATGTGAGTGAACTAAATACTTTAATTAAAAGACAGATTGCCAGCCTTGCTTAAAAAAAACAAGTATATGCTGCTGACAGAAGACACCAAAAATATAATGACACAGAAATTTAACAGTAACTAGGTAGAGAAAGACACACCATTCAAAAACTAAGCAAAAACAAAGTTGGTGAAGTCCTATCGATATCAGATGAAGGTGAACAGGATAAAGAGGGATACTTCATAATGATAACACAGTGAAGTCAAATGGAATATAACCATTCCATGTCACATGGAATATTTTCCAAAATTGACCACATAATGGGCCATAAAAAAGTGTCAACAAATTTCAAAGGATTTGAAATCATTTACACTATGTGCTCTGGCTATACTAAAAATAAGCTAGAAATCAATGAGATAACCAAGAAAAGTAGTCAGCTTGGGCTGCTATAACAAAATACCACAGACTGGGTAGCTTAAACAACAGACATTTATTTCTCACAGTTGTGGAGGCTGGAAGTCCCAGATTGAAGTGCTGGCTGATTTGGTTCCTGGTGAGAACTCTCTTCTAGGTTTGCAGGTGGCCGCCTTCTTGTTGTGTCCTCATATGGTGGACAGTGAGCTCTGTTCTCTTCCTCCTCTTATAAGGACACTAATCCCATCACAGGGCCCCATCCTCACAATTTTATCTAAACTTAATTACCTTTCAAAGGCCCTACCACCAAATACCATCACACTAAGGATCAGAGTGCCCCATATGGATTTGGAGGGGGACACAAACATTCAATCTATAACAGTACCTTAAGACAGTTTGTTCACTGAATATGGCTGTCCCCAAAAGCAACCATCCCCTCTCAACTGCTTCCTAGGTAATGAGCAAGATGAACAGGACTAGGGGTTATATAGACCTGTTTTGAAAATTCAATTCCTCCCTGGCCATTTCTGACCATGTTGCTTCTTTCTTGTCTGTAATGGCATCCCCAGGCTGGCCTGTTTAGCACACTTTGTGGGTGGTGGTTTAACCAAAAGGGAAACTAGGGGATTAATTATGGTTCGGTTTTATAAAAACGCTTTTGTCCCTTTATGGCTGACCTTCATGGATGAGAGGTCAAGTTGTGATTAGGAAGTGATTGAGAACAAAGGGTAAGTTACAGGCACTGTGGTGGTGGCGTTTGACAATTTTGTGAGGGAAGACAGGAAGCAACAACCCAGCATGTGGGGAAGGAACATCTTAGACCCTAGAACGTATCAGGGAGGTGGTACACTGATCACGTTTTATTTCTCAGGACCAACCAGTAGGCTTCCACAAGAAGAAAAATGCTCCCATGGGATCTCCCAAATGCCGCACATGCCTCAAATGTAACAGTATCCTTCTCCTGTGATCCAGAAGTCCCAGGTTTTCTGCCAGCATCCATGAAACCACAAAAGGCAAGTTTATTAGCTTTCAAGCAGAGTAAAATTTTGGACATCTCACAGTTCTTGGCACAAAACAGAGTTTTTCCAGAAGCCTCATAAAATACAAAGTTTATCTGGATGATAATCTTGCCAGGTAGAGTATTCTTGGTTGTAGGTTTTTTTCCTTTCAGTGCTTTGAATATATCATGCCACTGTATGGTCTTTGTGACACAGATTTTTAATTTGGGGAATGGAATATAATAGCCACCTCTTGGGGCCTTTAACTCTTCGTGGAATTTCAGTCAAACGAGAACGTTTATAATAGATATTTTCAAGAAGTTGTGAAAACATTTAATTGAATTTTTTTTTTTTTAAAAAAGAGAATTATACTAATAGGATTGGAAAGTTGGAGGGGCATTGCATTGTTTACATTCCAGCAAGTCATCTGTCATTATTAAGAATTAATCTTAACAAAGGGTGTTACTGCTTTCAGTAATCAATAATGAAATATGAAGGGCAAGAACTACAGTATTGCTAGAAGTTAAGGCCCTCAAAAGTACATTTAGTTCAGAGTTGGAGAGTTATTGTCTAACAGATTACCACATTAACAAGGCTTAATATAATAAACCGTGTCAGTAATGTGTTTGAACTGGAGAACGATCTGCTCTACAGTGCTTTTTGGTTAAGATTCAGTAACTGCATTTTAATAAATGGTTTTACTAATATAACATAACTGTATCCTTAATTCTAAATGAAAAACATGTATAGAAATTAACACTACAGAATTAAATGGACAAGCCTCTATTATTGATGATGCTAATGCTTATGCTAACAAATTGGCGTATTCTGACCACTTGCAAGTCATCTTATTAAAGCTAAATGAGAAAGACAATTAAGGGCCTTAACTGACTGTGCCCCTGGATCACCGGTCAGAGACATAACTGGAAATAACATACCATCACTTGGTAACTTCTTTTTTTCTAGGTTGTGAAATAGCAACCCGTCTCACCTGACTTTTTCCAAGGCCTTTTAATAAACCTCCAGGCTGGGAGATATTAAAACTGGGTCGCCACAAAATGGAAGAAAAACGACAAGATTCTTGCTTACATGGCATAAGAGAGTAGCTGTAACACCTGAAAGCCCAACACATTTAATGTTAAAGTGGGATGGCCCCATGCATCCTCTGAAGCTGTTCCAAGAGCCAGTGGGTGCAGGGGTATGAATAGAGAAACAGGGGAAGGAATATGCTAATGAGGTGATCTGCATTAATGGGCAGACCCTGTGGTTTCCCCATCCAATAGCTTTCCCCTCCCATCCTTGCTCACAGAACCCTGCTGTGACAAATTCCTTCCCTGCATTCCATGCTCCTTGCCAGGGACCAGTGTTGCTGTGGCCACATCCTGTCCCTTGACCTGTGGGGCAGCTACTGGCAAAGTGTTGTTCATCCTTCAAAAGGGACATAGACAGGGCCTCTCCCTCGCTTCCCTGGATGATGTGCGAGGATGTCACCAGATGCATCTCTAGCCCCATTGCACCCTGAATGGAGGCAGCACTGACCTGCTGAAGATAGACAGGCAGAAAGTTGGGTGTACCTGGGTCCTTGAAGACACAGGGAGCTGCCAGCCCTGCCATGAGCGTCCCTGTCCCCAGACTTCCTGTTCTGTGCGGTAATGACGGATTCACAGCTGATGGTCCTGCTGGCTGGGTTAGTGTTTCCTGCTCCCTGCGGGGCTGACCATGAATCTCCCAGTTTTGTGTGGGGGTGCATATTCCCATTTTACAGACAAGGAAACAGGCTCGGGGAGTCATGGGGCACTGAATCTTAAAGGGCCCATTTCTCATCTAGGGCAAAATCAGATCCTGAGCAAAGCTGTTCTAATTTAGTTGGACGTGGCTGAGTTTGTTGGCAAGCCGGTTTCAA